AGTTTAGAAGGTAATAAACAGTGCCATCAAAATCTTGAGAAAAATTATTTCCAATTAAAATCCTGCTGGGAAGTTCCCTGGTGGTCCAGTGGTCAGGACTTAGTGCTTTCACTGCCGTGGCCAGGTTCAATCCCTAGTCGGGGAACTAAGATCCCGCAAGTCATGTGGCATGGCCAGAAAAATAAATTAATTAATTAAAAAATTTAAAAATAAAAAATAAAACCCTGCTGGATCATTATGCAAAGCGAGAAAAAGGACATTTTCAGGCATGCGAAGTATTAAAAAAAAGTTACCTTCCATGCAGCCTTTTTCAGGAGACTATTGGATGTCTACCAAAAAGAGAGTAAACCAAGTAAGAAGATACGAATAGAGGATTCAACACAGGAGATAATTAAGAAAATTCCCAAGAGGGTGATGAAAGGAGGTCCCAGGTGGCAGTCGGAGTTAAGCAACAGAGGGATGGAGAGCTCAAGGAACATGACTTCAAGGGGGGAAAAAATGGTGCAATGGAGTACTGGGTGTGTTTGTTTTGTTAGGTTCCAGTGTTGAGAGGAGATTTATACTCTGGCTGAAAGTCAATGGAAAAATTAGTGGTAGATGGATAGAAGACTAAACAAAGGGGGAAAACAATGTTATCATTTATCATTAGATGCAGGTAAGCAAAATAGTATATAAGAAATTTAATTATAGTATATCATAAGGCTTAGCTATGGATAATATTTATATAGTCATAATAATGTAAACACTGAATTCTGATCTAACCAAAATATGTTAGAAGTATATTGGGAGGATTGGGGTTGCAGGGAGGAGAATCCTGTGTGATGAAGATGCCTGTGGATTTATAAGAGAGCTAAGTCCTTATCTTCCATAATATGAGCATAGTCAATAGTAGTTAAAATGAAATATCAAGAAGAAATAGCTGTATTAACAAGTTATTTTTAAAGTGTAAGTAAATCCCCATAGAAACAGCTGTAAGAGTTGAAGGTAGATGCAGTCCTGGGGAGCGGGGGATGGGGAAGGGACTGCCCTTGTCCATTCTAGGTCTTGTAGACCAATTTGACTTTTCAGTTATATGTATTATGACGTCAGTTATAGAGAATAAACTATAATTGCACCTCCCATCCTCTTTAAGCCTTCTGTATTGAGGCTTCCACCCTCACCCCCTTACTAGTCTTCCCTGTTGCAAATCTAATTCACTTGTTTTAGTTCTCATCTTCTCAGAATTTCGCATTATTAACTATGGTACTTCTTCCACTTTGAACTCTTTGTCCTTCATTTTCACTACTCTTCTGTCTTCAGGTTCTCTTCCTTCTTCTGAACACTCTTTACAGTGGTTCCTCTTGCTCTGCAATCCCACATATTGAGTGTTCCCCATTGTTCTGCCTTTGGTTCCTGCACTTTTCATGTTGTAGGCTCTCTGTGGGCCAGCTCATCTATTTCCACCTGTAACTCTTCACCAACCATCTCTAAACTAATCAGTTCCAATTTACATCTTGAGCCTGATCTTCTCCTTGAGGCTCCTCCCCACAGAGCTGGGTGCTTATCAGACATTACCACTTGTTAAGTCAGACAGAGAAAGAGAAATACCGTGTGATATCCCTTATATGTGTAATCTAAAAAGAAATGATACAAATGAACTTATTTACAAAACAGAAACAGACTCACAGACTTAGAGAATGAACTTATGGTTACTGGGGGGAAGGGAGGAGGGCCGGGGATAGTTAGGGAGTTTGGGATCGACATGTACACACTGCTGTATTTTAAATGGACAACCAACAAGAACCTACTGTATAGCACAGGGAACTCTGTTCAATGTTATGTGGCAGCCTGGATGGGAGGGGAGTTTAGGGGAGAATGGATACATGTATATGTATGGCTGAGTCCCTTTGCTGTGCACCTGAGACTATCACAACATTGTTAATTGGCTATACGCCAATATAAAATAAAGAGTTTAAAAAATCAAAAAACAAACAAACAAAAAAAAAGCATTACCACTTGTTTGTTTTACTGACACCTTAAACTAAACATGAGTTACTCCTCACTTCTCCCACACTCACCTCCTTATCTCTTGAACTAGCACCACCATCCATTCATTCCCCCCAGTAGAAATCTGGAATCTTCCAGATATGTCTATTTCACTCATGTACATGTCAGGCAGTGTCTGTGTCCCATTCATCCTTGGGCTCTCTGTGTCCTTTATTCCCTTTATGGTGGCTGGCACATTGATGTCTACTTAATTCATGCTCCATAAATGCAGGAATAAAAAAGAAGAGGATCAAATTGATAAAAGGGTCAGTTTCCCACTAGCAATGGGATTATGGGAGTGGACTGGAAACGATATGAAATTTGATGTATACTGGTAGTGGGAGTCCAGGGTAAGGTCTGAAGGTGATGAAAGACGAAGTCAAAATGTTAAATCTGAAATTTAGCGAAGAGTGTTCAGATGGATTTAAAGGTGTAGTTACCAGAGAAGACAGATAATCCACAAGGAGAGTGCAGTGGGTCAGAGAGCTGCTACAGGTACAAATATTGCAATAAAAGCATAATGGCTTCATGACAGTTTCATGTGAAGAGATGAAGATAATACATTTCACAGAGTACTGAGCATCCATGTCTGGGAAGACAGTAAAACCCAATAAGAGGGAGATAAATGGTAGAGTTTCACAGTCTGCTGTAACCTGGGGGGTTTAGCACACTGTCTACGTGGAGTCTTGCTTCTTGCCTCTCTCCCGAAACATGGGGCTCGAGGTATTCATTTATGAGTTGGTTCTCTACAAATTGCAACTGAACATTTGGTGCTGTATTAGTTTCTTAGAGCTGCCATAACAAATTACCACAAACGGTGCCTTCAAACAACAAGAATTTGTTATCTCGTGGTTCTGGAGGCTAGAAGTCTGAAATCAAGGTGTTGGTGGGGCCATACTCCCTCTGAAGGGTCTTTGCCTCTTCCTAATTTCTGATGCTTGCTGGCAATCCTGCATCACTCCAATCTCTGCCTCTGTCATCTTATGGCCTTCTTCCTTCTGTGTCTAAGTGTGGCTTCTTGTCTCATCTCCTTTTAAAGGATTCATTGGATTTAGGGCCCACCCTAATCCAGTATGACCTCATCTTAACTAATTACATCTGCAAAAAATGTCCATTTCTAAATAAAGTCACATTCTGAGCTTTCAGGTGGACATGAATTTTGGGAGGACACTATTCAACCCAGTTCAGTGCCTTTGCCTTTTAGCAGTTTATTGCAATTCACCCTTCTTTGCCTGCTCTGTAAACCTGAAATTGGCCTCCTAAATATTTTCCCTTTACCCACAAACATGATGTTACGATTTGTCAGTTGGGGGCGCTGGAGAAATGTTGCGGGAGGAAGGGGTTTCCCTTCCCCGTTCTGGTGTGCTGGCTCAGCTTGTGGCTCTCCAGAATCCAGCAGCAGCTCTCCCTGCAGCAGTTTTCTCCTGCACCCTCTCAGGCACACTGCCTCTAGTGAGATACTCCCTTGCCCTCTAGAGGGAAGACTTCCAGCAAGATCCACTACCATGGCACAACAGTTGACTCCTTTCTATCCAGTGAGCCATGACTGCACTGCAGAGGAGGCTCCTAAGCAAGTAAACAAAATGACAGACTCGGTATATGTAAGTCAGTCCCTTACCCCAGTCACCCCAGTGCTTGCTCTACGGGCCATAAACAAAGTGGCCCCAGTGGCAGGGATGGAGGCTATGCGTGGGCTAAAAACACGGACTTTACCTACCCAAGACTGACCTGACAAGCATTACTGCTGAGTGTCTAACCTGTCAACAGCAGAGGCCAAAGCTAAGCCTCTCAAATGGCACCACTCCCCATGGGGACCAACCAGCCACCTGGGGCAGATTGATTACATTGGACCTCTTTCTTCATAGAGGGAGCAGAGATTCATCCTCACTGGAATATTCATGACTCTGAACATGGATTTGCCTTCCCTGAACATAACTCTTCAGCCCCACCATCTGTGTACTTATGGAATGCTTTATCCATCATCTTGGTATTCTGCGCAGCACTGCTTCTCATCAAAGAGCTCATTTCACAGCAAAGGAAATAGAGCAATCGGCTTATGCCCATGGAATCAACTGGTCCTGCCACATACCCCATCACCTGGAGCCATTGGCCTAATTGAAAGTCGGAATGGATGATTCAGTTGTGGTGCCAGTTGGGAGACAACCCCCCCAGAACCATGGGATTCTGCCTTACAGGGTAGAGTATAGGTTTTGAATCAGTGACTGTTATATGATGTTCTCTCTCCTGTAGCCAGAACACATGGATCTGGGCATCAAGGGGAGGAAGTGGGAGTGGCTCCTTTCACTCTTAAACTCACTAAAAAGAAATGTTCTTCCTTCCCCAGAAACTTTGAGCAATGCTGGTTTGGAATCCATAGTCCCCAGGGGAGGAACGTTTCCACCAGCAGACACAATGGTTCAATTGAATTGGAAAGTGAGAATGCCTCCTGGACATTTTGGACCTCTTATACTATTCACCAACTGGCCAGAAAAAAAGGGGAGGGGGTTACTCTAAATGAGGTACTTGAACTTGGGCTGCTACTACACAGTGCAGGCAAGGAGGACTATGTCTGAAACCCAGGGAGTTATGTGGGTGTGCTTCTTAGTACTTCCATGCCTAATAGTGAAAGTTAATGGAAAACTACAGAAACCAGGAAAGGCAGGACTGAAGACTCAAACCCTCTTGAGAGTGAAGGTTTGGGTCACTCTGGTGAGTAATGAACTCCAACCAGCTGAATTTCTGGCTGAGGATGGGGAAAATGTGATGTGGACTGGGCAGTGCAAGAAGGAAGAGATGGGTACCATTGACAGCCTCATAACAAAGCACAGAAATAATGGCAGTAGTAGCTTCGTATATATTCTCATTACATACATGTGTGTTTATTGAATGTACTAAACATTTTCTTCTTCTATCTCCTTTCTATTTTTATGTTACATACATGTAGTTGAAAATTAACTTTACAATTTATTCTTTAGGTGACAGAATATTCAGTGGGACTCCACCTGAATTTGGGGAGTGATTCATATAACCATTGATGGATATGGTGCCTGTTGGAACTGTGTGCCTGAAGAAGAGGTGAGAACTTTACGTTTAATACAGAAAGTTGTATTTTGTTACGGGAAAAAATAGAGGTGTTTTATTGATGTACAGAAGTTCGAAGCTGTGTAGAAGGCTGCACGTGGAAGCTGAGGAGCCAGAGGGCTCTCCTCACTTGTACTGCTGTGCTACTACTGCTCCAGCTATTCTTGGAACCTTTAAGTGTCTCTTCTTGTCCTCTCCAATTTGAGACACAGCTTGTATCACCATGAAGTTTCTTCCAATTTCCCTATTCTATAGTGATTTTGTTCTTCTCATGACCCTGAAGAACTTGACTATATCACACATTTAGCATCTAATTGTACTCTGAATATGATTTTCCTCTCATTATTTGGTGCATTACACTGCTCCTCCACCCAGTCCATTTGATCCTAAGCTCTTTTAGGACAATGTCTCATTCCTTTTTTGCCTCATCCACCAAAAATACACACATGAATACACACGCAATGAATATCTCTTAATTAACTGCCCTTGCTTGCCGCACTGATTGTCTGCTTCTTGCTCCAAATTTAGTGTTTCAGCTAATACAGTGTTTCCCAACCTAATCTGACTAGAGATTGCCTTTGACATTAATATGTTAAACTTACTCAAAATTACTTGGAAATTTAAAAAAATTCATCAAGTTTTGCTTGATATAGAGCAGGGATTTATGGAAAATATTTTATTCTGGATTAGTACAGTGTATCATAATATGACTTTCCCCCACTACTTAAAAATAATTATATAAGAATTAAAATGACATACTGTAGTTCCAAAGAAATTAAAAACTAAAATTACTATATGATACAGCAATTCCACTTCTGGGTATATACCCCAAAGAATTGAAAACAGAGTCTTAAAAAGATATTTGTACATCCATGTTTATAGCAGCATTATTCACAGAAGATGGAAGCCAACAAGTGTCCATCAACAGATGAATAGATAAGCAAAATGTGGCATAAACGTGCAATGGAATGTTAGTCAGCCTGAAAAAGGAAGGGAATTCTGACACATGCTACAACATGGATGAATCTTGAGGATATAATGCTAAGTGAAATAAGCCAGTCACAAAAAGACAAATACTGTATGATTCCACTTATATGAGTGTAATCAATAGAGTAGTCAAATTCATAGAGACAGAAAGTAGAATGGTGGTTTCCAGGGGCTGGGGGAAGGGGTATGGGGAGTAGTTGTTTGATACAAAGTTTCAGTTTTACAATATGGAAAGGATTCTGGAGATTGGCTGCATAGTAACATGAGTATACTTAACACTACCGCACAGTACCCTTAAAAATGGTTAAGATGGTAAATTTTGTTGTGTATCTTTTACAGCAATTTAAAAAATCCAACAGAGTCCATAAAATAAAATTTATAGATGAGATTGTTTAGGAGCCAATGGAAAAATTATTGAGAGAAATTAAAGACTGAAATAAATGGAGTGACATCCTGTGTTCATGGATTAGAAGACCTGACATAGTAAAAATGACAGTTCTTTCTAAAACTATCTGTAGATTTCATGCAATCCCAATAAAAATTTCAACACTTTTTCTGTAAATTAAAAAACTGATACTAACATTTATATGGAAATGCAAAGACTTAAGAAGAACCAAGACACTCTTCTTTTTTTCAATTGAAGTATAGTTGATGTACAATACTATATAAGTTAGAGGTGTACAATATAGTGATTCATAGTTTTTAAAGGTTTTATTCCTTTTATAGTTATTATAAAATATTGGCTATATTCCCCATGTTGTACAATATATCCTTGTAGCCTGTTTGATACTTAATAGTTTGTACTTCTTAATCCCTAACCCCTATATTGCCCCTCTCCCCTTCCCTCTCCCAGCTGGTAACCACTAGTTTGTTCTCCATATCTGTGAGTCTGTTTCTTTCTTGTTATATCCACTAGTTTGTTGTATTTTTTAGATTCCACATATAAGTGATATCATACAGTATTTGTCTTTCTCTGTCTGACTTATTTAACTTAGCATAATATCCTCCAAGTCCATCCATGTTGTTGCAAATGTCAAAATTTCATTCTTGTTTATGGCTGAATAGTATTCCATTGTATATGTATATACCACATCTTCTTAATCCATTCAATTGTTGATGGACACTTAGGTTGCTTCTGTGTCTTGGCAGTTGTAAATAATGCTGCCATGAACATCTGGGATGCATGTATCTTTTCAAATTAGTGGGGTTGTTTTTTTTTTTCAGGTATATACCCAGGAGTGGAATTGCTGGGTCACATGGTAGTTCTATTTTTAGTTTTATGAGAAACCTCCATACTATTTTCAACAGTGGCTGCACCAATTTACATTCCCACCAACAGTGCGTACAAGGGTTCCGTTTTCTCCACATCCTGCTCAACATATGTTATTTGTGTTCTTTTTGATGATAGCCATTCTGATAGGTATGAGGTGATATCTCATTGTGGTTTTGATTTGCATTTCCTTGATGATTAGCAATGTTGGGCATCTTTTTATGTGCTTGTTGGCCATCTGAATGTTCTCTTTGGAAAAATGTCTGTTAGGTCTTGTGCCCATTTTTTAATTGGGTTGGTTGGTTTTTGATGTTGAGTTGTATGAAGAAGAGCCAAGACACCCTTAAAGGAGAAGAATGAGGTGGTAGGACTTGCTCTGTTGGCTATAAAGATATATTAAAACTCTGCAGTAGCTAAAAAATGTGATATTAATGTAAGAATAAATAAACATACCAATGGAAGAGATTAAAGGTACCAGGAATAGATTCACACATACATGGTTAGTTGATGAGTGACACAAGTAGCACTGCAGAATAGTGGGTGAAAGGTGGTCTTTTCAATAAATGATGTTGGATCAATTAATTATCTATGTAGAAAAAGTAAAGTAAAATTTTATCCCTACCTTACACCATACACAAAAATAATTTCCAAGTCAATTTTAGGCCTAAATGTGCAAAGCAAAACAATAAAGATTTTGGAACATAACGTAGGAAAACATCTTCGAGGTATTGGGATGAGAGAGATTTTAAAAATAGGACATTAAAAGCACTAACCAAAAAAGGAAAAAATGACAGATTTGTCTTATTAAAATTCAGAACTTCTATTCATCAAAAGATTGAAAAGGCAAGCAAGTGTGGGATCTCAGGGTCTTAGCTGTGCACCAAATGAGGGGGTAAATAACTAGTCTCATTTTAAGTGGTAGCACTGAAGATAGCTCCAGTCACTTTTATGAAAAAAAAATCAACTTAAAGGATATACTGTATAGCATAGGTTATACCCATTATACTCATTATCTTGTGATAACCTATAATGGAATATAATCTGCAAAAACACTGAATCACTATGCTGTACACCTGAAACTAACACGATATTATAAATCAAGTATACTTCAATAAACAATTTAAATTTTTAATTTACTTTTAATTTTTTATTGAAATATAGTTAATGCATTATATTATGTTACTGTTAGGTGTACTACATAGTGATTTGACTTTTGTATACATTATGAAATGGTTACCACAATATATCTAGTAACCATCTGTCTCCATACAAAGTTATTACAATATTATTGACCATATTTCTTATGCTGTATATTATATCCCCTAGCTTATTTATTTTATAACTGAAGGTTTGTGCCTCTTAATCCCCTTCACCTATTTCCCCCCATCATCTTACTCAGTTCCAGTAATTTTTAATAGTATTTTTGAAGTTTCCAGGTTTGTTTAACCATATTGAGAGGACCTTACAGCTTCATCAGAGAGTTTGGACATTAATTTTGACAATACCTAGAAGACTAAGCAAATAAAAAAATGAAGCAATGTAATGATCTTCCAGGAGCAAAAACATACAAGGATATTACCAGGAGGAAAATATAATTATATAATACTTTCTAGTTCATCTGTGAATAATACTTACAAAATCATAAATCATAATATGGTAAAGATGATGTATTAATATCCTATTATAACTATATTTAGAATAGTTATATATAAATACAGACTAATATTAAGTTAGAATTAAATATTGAAAGATATATTTGTAGTTAAATATATTTTAATTTATTAATATTGTATTACCAGTATAATTAGAGGAGGAGGAGGAGGTGGGGGTAGGGAAAGAACTAAATCCGCATGTTCCAAGATAGTAATACAGTGGTCTTTGCCTTCTTCTCCACAAGAGGGCGCAAGGTGAATAAGATTTTCAAGTCCATTGTTTCAGCCAGGGCCTTCGGCTGTGACCAGGGACTGCCACTTACCTCCATTTTGGTAGAGTTAACAAACTTCTATTGTTAACATCTAAACAACTGTCTTTGAGGTCCGGGAGCTGTTGAAGGGATACCCAGATGAAGAAGTCATGATTTAAGCACTCACAATCTAGTGGGGTCCCAAAGGGAGCAAAAATAATACATTTGGAGGGCGTGCTAAGGGCCCAAGGAGTCCCGCAGATAATGAGTTGGGGTGTTCCTTCCGAGAGGTTGGCATGGTTGGGGGTGATGCATTGGATGAGGCAGAGCGATGGAATAGACTGCACGTGGAGAGATCAACTGTGGGAGCACTGAGGGCCCAGGGCTGCTGTGGGAACGCAGGAATTCTTCACCAGCAGACTCGGGGGCCATGATGAAAGAGGCGAAGGTTTCTTAACCAACACTGCCTGCAAACACTGGGCAGTTTCTGAGGTCTGTTCTCCCTTCTTTGTCCCTTGCAGTCTGCTCTGTTCCCTTAAGGGCCCATGACTTTCACACAGACACCACCCCTGCCCGCTCTGCCCCACCCCCATGACCTTCTTCAGGTGCGCTTCACCCTTTCCTCACAGAGGCCTTTCCTTATCCAGGGCCATTTCCTCTTATTCTTTCAGGCCTTCCCCACTTATCTGAGGGTTTGCTCTCTGGTCTCTAGGCCTCTTCTCCTCTCCTGGACCTTCCTCCCCAACACCAGGATTGCTGTCCTTCTTCCCCCTGGTCTCTCATCTGTCGCCCAGTCAGCTCCCTTTCTGGAGGGCTGGAAAGGGACTGACCCTC